CCAGCATTGGTCAGAGAATAAACCTGTACTCATACAAATCAGTTAATTACTGAGAATGTGTAAAACTCAAATAGGGTGTTACATTTACCTATATAAGTGAAGGCACGTGTTCCAATTTCATTGTTATGAATTTTCATGCGAGTAGAAGTTTTCTCTTTGTTACATTTATCTACATCTATTGTTTACAAATGGGGCTCTATTCTGTATGCTCTATACTCTCCATAAATTCCAAGTAAAATTATACTGATTTTGGTTTTGTTATTGAATTAATAACTCAAACTTATAAAATAAAGAGAAATAGACGTGGACGATTGGGCTATTCTTAGCGTTGTGGCGCTAAGTATATAACATATGATGGAATAGTATCTTGCACGTAGGTTACCACGATCAAGAATTTGAAGCCAATGATGTGCAGTTGTTGTTGGAAAGAATTTTTTTTAAAACTGGCGATGTTTGCTTGACTTTTTGCAAATGGCTTTTTTTTCTTACATTTTCTTCCATAGCAACATTATTTAAGCCATTCCTATTTACTTTACCTATTCGTCTTTTTTTCAAGCATGTGCACCAGAGATGCGACTAAAGTCGATTCCTACCCGAACCGAACCGACCGAACCGAAATCGGTTCGGTTAAAAAGTTTTGAAAACTAAAGGAGTGGGTGTGTGTGGGTGGGGCTTTGGCAGGTTTTATATTGATACCATAACCACAGCAATACCCAAATCAACATCCTACACCCACACCCACACCCCACACCCTACTTCTTGATCTTCTATAATTTCATCTGGCTGTATCTCTTCAAGTACATATGGTTGACCACCCAGGTCAAACAGTCTGATTGTAAGAGCGTATCAGAACTTACATCATGATCTTATATGAGCATACGAGATCGTACGAAAATCGTATAAGATCTTGTATGATTTCATACAAATATCTTAAAGCCAGCATTTCTGATAAAATCTTACTGTACGATTCTTGTATGATCTTATGACAAGATCGTGTATGATCGAATAATATTCTTGTAAGATCTTAGGGAACATTCGTACGCATCCTATAACGAAATATGCTTCTCTAATTCATGCTTTCAAAGGAGTATTTTAATAAAATTTATTTTTTCGTGTTATATATATTTATTTTCTCAATGTAATCAATTTCAATAGTATAAACATACATCTAAAAAAAATATAAATAAATACAAAAACCACTGCTACCAATAATCTATTTCAATTTATAAGCCATTAGCGCATTGTTCAAAATGTGCTTCGGTATTTGTACAACGAAGAACTGTTGATAAAGTCGATAATTGTAGTTGAAGTTCATTTATTGCTACTGTTGTGCTTGTTGTAAACGAAGTCAATACGTCCGACGCACGTCGCACAACATTTGGGTTAAAGATCTATAAAGGCACAGATTGAAGAACTCGTCCCAATGCAAATCACTGATACGAAAACAAGCACTGACTGCATCTAAAATTGAAAAAGCAGAAATAATTAACTTTCTGAATGAATGGTTTTGACGAAAAAAGTTATTCAATCTAAAACAAAAGCAGATAAAAGAAGGATAAAAAAATATCTTTAAGGAGCAGTTGTTTTTGCACTATTTCATGTCTTGAAGCAGTGCTATATTAAACAAGAAAAGAGCTTTTAGGGGTCAATACTTCTATACTAGCTTTTTCTGATCGAGATCGTTGAAATCTTTGCCGAAAACTAAGGAGAATGTTGAACAAAGATCAATGAAACGTAACTGCTTATTCGTTTATAAGAATATTTCATTTCAGTCAACGAAAATGGTTTGAGATAACAGTTACTCCTATTTTAATAATAATAAGAAAAAATGCTTACCTTTAAATTTTTGCATACGATTAGGATCAAGCTCGGGCTTTGAATAAGTCGAATTAGCATAAAGAATTGATTAGCTTATTTCAGCTGGTGTGAATAAAATTTTCATAACTTTTCGAGCATATCGACCATGATCACCAGCATCATAAATATCTAATAGATTTCGACCATTATGTACCTTAACATACGAAAGACCAACATACATATATATAAGAAGACAAAAATTTTACTTACTACTGTTCGAGAAAATGTTTCACTATCGCAACAATACATTTCTAAGCTAGAATCGACCTAAAATAAAATGTATGAATGTAGAAAATTCTTTCGAAAAATGTGCACAAGTCCTACTGTTGTTTGATTTATTTTTTTCGACTTTGTCTTGATGAGTTTCAACACGATTAACTAACTTTGAAAGAGCATCGGCTAAATATAAAAGTATATTTTTAGTAGGTCAACAAAATTGGAAAAAATTATTCAAAACCAGAGAAAAATGATTAATATAATTGTTTCGATTGGGAACAGAATAATTTTGTTTTTGCAATATTCATTGAGTTTATTTTTACAGCGATATCAATCAATTGATTTCTCAATAATTTTGATGCATTGCTTCTATTAACATACCTGTACGTAGTTGACCGATTTACGGATTTCAATTTTGCAGAATTTTAATCGATGGATAGTATGGATTCTCTTTTGGCTCAAATAAGTAGTTTAGTGTAGGGGGAATGTTTGGTGTGATATAGAGATGGGAATAAAAGAGAAAACTGGCCATCTTCAGCTGGTTCGTGGTGAAGGCCAGGAGATTATCTGGTTGCAATCGTTGGTATGGTATCGGAAATGTTTAGATTTTGTAAGTGGGGACTTTGGTGTTGGGAAAGATATGGCTGGTTAGATTTTTAATTGTTGAAGGCTTCTGAGTCTGTAGTATTATTTTTTTCGGAGGAAAGGTATTCTTTGAGGACAGCATGTTTTTAGTTGGTGGCAGTGAGTGTTTTCGTATTGAGAGATTGCATTGTTCTTCGGGAAAGTAGGTTGTCCCGCTATTACAGGAGCGATCGTTTGATTTCGGCGTATTGTTATGTCTGTTGAGAAAGTTGTCTGGTGTTCGTGCTGAGTAACTAAGGGAAAAGGGTGGTATGGTCTGAATTCTGGTGCGGTAATCTATGCTCGGGATTCTATTGGTATTTCGTTTGATGCTTTGAATTGGTGTTCGTGCTAACTTCACATTGATCTCGATTTAATGCAATGTTCCTTTGAGTCGACATTAGGAGAAGCGACTTAAAAATTGGTGTTTCTGATAGTTTTCAATTACTACAAAAAACACTGTTTCTATTAAGAAGTTTATCTTACTCTTTGTTTCTCTATAAAATTCTAGAGATAAACCACTATCATCTGTATGTAATAATAGAAATAATGTAGAATTCTCATGATAAATTTAAGTAGGACGTGTCATCGGTACTAGTAAAATGTTTATTATATGTTGTCTGGCGTTTTATACATATGATTTGATTGTAACACTATAGACAAAGAGAGTATCGTGAGTCAGATGATTCTTACTAACATTGCCACTAATCTAGCATTCTGTTTTTATCATCTAAAAGAAGACGTCGCTACTCTCGAAAGTATTAAAGAAATCAATTGTGTACATCATCGTCGAAAAGAATTTTGTTGAAAGACTCATGAGACGCTCTAGATTGTTGCACGCCATCTGATTCTTATACAGTAGCGCTTGACAGGTCCAAATCAGTTTCTAGAACTAATTGATCCGAGATTAATGAGCTATCTATAACTTTTCAAAACCTATATCTATGACTGATCTCTAAAAATTCTTGAGGACCATCTAGATGTGATCTCTATACCTACGAATATTTTGACTCACACAACAACGAATCAGAATAAAAGAGTGTACGTAGTCTGAAGAAGTACCTATTTTAATTTTAATGTTAAAATTAAAGCATTATTTAAAATTTTAAAGTTTAAGGTTAATATAGCATGCTTGAACGTTTTAACCTTAAAAATATCAAAACTAAAATAGATATGTTCAGAGAAACAATCAATTGAGTTTCAGAGAAGGTGTTTTCTCTTTTAACAATGGATACATCTTGGGCTTGCCTTTGTCAATCAGGAGATTTATCATTGTTCTCTATAAGTTGACAAAGACAATCCTCTGGTTTTTTTCTGATTAGAAGAGAAAAAATTTTCTGTAATCTGATCAATCAAGATAAAACATCATGTTGTTTTTGTCAAATTATAGGAAATAATGAGAAATGCCATGATCTATAAAGAGATGTTCCCTAGACTGAAAGGAATTGGTCTAGAAACCGTAATTCACCTGTGTCTGTCTGTCTATCTGGGTATGTGTGTGTGGGACCCACACACCCACACGAAACCTTTTGGTTACACCTTCTAAACAATCTTAATTTTTCGTAAAAACGTCTCTCTCCCTCAAAAAGTAAAAAGCGAAACTTAAAAAACCTCACCTTGGATTAGAGTTCCCCGACCCCAATTATCTTCGGTCAAAATTTATAGCAAATAATTATTTTCTCTAAAATAATTCAGCATCAAAAATTTTTGAAAAACTGACACCGAATCCGGATGCCCCAACCCCGACTACCTTCGGTCAATCCTTATAGAAAGCTAATTTTTCACTAAAAAAGCATTTCGCTCTTCTAAAAAAAAGCAAAATACAAAATTTCAAAAAATTAACAACACCATCATGTTCTCTCTGCTCAAAAAACTTGGGGTGAAACGGTTTAGAACATTTTCATGTGAGAGGTCAAAAATCATTTTTTTGTTCTATGCGAACGAACGCATTTAATTCACTTTTCGTAAGACTCCTTTCAGTAGAGGGAATGATCGATAAAGAGATGTTCCCTAGACTGAAAGGATAGGGTCTAGAAATCGTAAGTTACCTGTATCTGTCTGTCTGGCTCTGTGGGTGTGGGTACGGGTTTGAATTTCCATCTTCTGATATTCAAAGCCACACCTCACACGCACATCGCACACCCCACACCCACACCCAGTCACTGTAGACAATATTTGAAATACGGTATAACATAATTTTAATTTGTAAAAGAAGAATGGGCGAACTTTTATTTGGAAAAAAAGAAGAATATGTAGGAATTGAATATAGTATCCTTTAAAAATAATGTCTCGATGAATATTCATTAAGTGTTGTGATGATGTTCAGGAACAGAATGAATTTTTTCAATTTTTCCTCCTGAACTAAATGTATAAGTTGTATGGTATATATGATGATTATATGAAACACGAGCTGTTAATGTATCATTGTATTGGTCGTCTTGTTGAAATTCAATAATTTTCCATTCAGCCGATGGATGAGCTTGATGTTCCTTGAAATAATATTCTCGTGCTTCGTCAATATTTTTAAAAACGATATCGGAGTGTTCAATTTTTTCAACATAATGTTCCAAAACATTATCAAGATCATGAAGATGATGAGCATCGAGTGCTTGTACAAATTGTTGAACTATTTTCTTGTGAGTCTCAGCCATTTTTGTCAAATTCTACTTTGTTTCGTAAATGATACAAATATTTTCTACAAAGAAAGTTTATCAAGATGTATTTATTCTTGTTAATCCTCTAAGACCGTGGCACATGTGTCTGTACCACCTAACGAAGGGTGACAGAATAAATGAACACGTTTCGAATTTCAATTTTTCAATACATTGTATTAAAAAATCAAAATATATCACAAGACACAACTTGAAAAGCCCTGCAATTCATAATATAAAGTTGAGTTGATACATATATTTTTCGTTTTTAAAATAGAAAAAATTCTATGCGATCTATTTTCGAAGATTTTCTTGTTTCTTTTTTGCGTTAATTGGCTTGTTATTATGTAGTTCATGTGCGCCTCTAACAAGTAATATCAAAACTAAGATGGGAACAAAATTGCAATACTTATCGATGGCTTAAATTTGGTCATCGATTATGGCTTCTTGATATGATTCGTTAAGAAACTGAATCTATCGTGTATCAGTAAATGATTTGGGTTTCAACATCGAAAATTCATCACAGAGTGTTCTCCATTTAAGTGTTAATTTGTAGACTGTAGAGCTTTTCATGCTGCATATTGCGCTGCATTGTTTTTGAAACGCCTTGGTCAACGATTGAAAATGGAAATATAAAACTCGGCTATTTATTTTGATCCATTGTTGCTGTTCGGTTAAAAAAACAGACAACCTTCAAAGGGTGAAACAGTAAGCGTATGTGCACGTCTTATCAGTCGCACAGCTTCTACGCTTTTTTTCTCTATTCTGTGAATACACACATATGTAGGCAGTTATTCGTATTCTTTTGACATGACAAGGTGAATAAAAAAGAAAACGTTTGAATCAACTAAATAGAGTAATTGAGCAGTCATCATGGAAGGAAAGCCGATGAAGTTTAATATTTTTGCTACAACTCCTCTATTTTTCATTCTTTTTAAATTTTCTTCAAAAATCACCTTGAAAATATTCTCTCTATGGGCTAGTAAAATTTATAAATCAAGATCTTCTACGTACACGTATTTTCAAGATGTTCCTTAATCAGTATTCGATTCATTCTTGATGAATTTGTAAGATACTGTACCACCAGAGCGAAAAAATTGGCAAGGCAAGTGAGTTCAATGTTCTACAGTATGTGACGGGTAATAATAATCGACCGAAGTAGCCGAATGCGCTGATTGGATATTTTAAATATATACATCCAGCGCTTTAAAAGCACCAATATTTAATTAGATGGCGCCCTTATACTATATTTTAAAATGCCAGAAATAGAAGTCAGTAGATGAGCAAGAATATTTCTGAAATACATTTGCAGAAAAATATTCTTTCAGATTGTAGATTGAATGTTATGTTAGATTCTGTTAAATATTGAAACATCTTATATTTCTGCATCCGAGAACATTAAACTCTTTTTTTCTATAAAAAGAATATAATTCTATGAATCTATTTTAAATTAATATATTATCGTTTATTTGTGTCAAATTCTCTCATTTAAAAAAATCCATTCGTATCCAGTTTGATGAGTCAGGAATTACTCTAAATTTATCATTTTATTTTCAACAAAAAATGATGATGCTTGACAAACAAAAATGATAAAGCCTTTGGACAACTCGAATTGTCCAAAGGTATGAATGTAAAAGAAGATACATCGATTAGAAAAAAATAGTCAGAGGATAAGTCGACTTGTCTCTTAAGGAAAAACTAGTGAAAAAATCTCCATGCTTGTATTCAAATCGAAATAAAATTTTAGTATAGTTGCCTAATTTCTGATAAGGTAAATTACGATTATATGACTGAATTCATTTTCAAAATATTATATTAGGTGTGTACTATTCAGACACTGATAAAATATGGACTCGCATTCATTGGTATACTGAATTTTTCGTAAAGACCAATCGTATTCTTAGGTTGCTTCGGTCTTCGGCTGTTACTTCGGCCAATTATTATTATCCACAGTTATTGTATTGTATCGATGAAATTAATGAAGTGATTCATTGAATGAACCGAAGCCAATATTTGCTTTGCGCCAACTATTAGGGGTGTTACTTTATATTTACTTTACTTTTTAAAGATAAATAAAACCTTTATATTTAAAAAATAAAGATAAATAAAATATTTATATTAATAAAGTAAAGATAACGATAATCTTTATCTTTTTAAAATAAAGAAAAAGAAAAAGAAGCTTTATCTTTATTTAATAATGATAAAATAAAGAATAAAGAAAAATATTTTTCCTTAAAAACCCAAAATTTGGTCTTCTCCCGATAGCTCGAAGAAAACTAAGAAATTCAAGGCTATCAAATTTTGAACACTAGATTTTTTTCCATAAATGATTTATGCTTCACCATCATTTGCTAGTATTATTTCATATTGCAATGTCAGTGATGATAAGCAAGAACTGCAATGAATGTTTTCTGTTGTGTTATACAAATTATTCATCTATTTACCAGTGACTGTAAAAAATCTTTCTTTTTTTCTTTATTTTAACGTTATTTTTACAAATAAAGATTATCTTTATCTTTATTTTACAAATATAAAGGTTTTATTTATCTTTATTTTACAAATATAAAGGTTTTATTTATCTTTATTTTATAAATATAAAGGCTTTATTTATCTTTATTTTTTAAAGAATAAAGATCAAAAAAGATAAAGTAACACCCCAACCAACTATCTCTTCCAGAAATAGTGGGAAAAGAAGACCAATAACAGCGCAGATATGACTGTTATAGTTTTTTTTATTCGCAATTAAACAACTAAATTTTCTCATATTTATTACGAGTTTTGCAACATGCTCCGTCGATTTATTCCTGTTTTTACTACTAATGTAAACCGATACTATTCGATATCTTCTTTACATTATAATTCAACTGTTCCCGGTAAAGAATTTCAAGTTTGAAAAGCTTTTATTAAGTCTTTTGTATTTATTATTTTTAACAATTAGAATCAACTCAGGTCGTTCAACTTAAGTCGTACACGATCGGATACTGAAATATCCGACCACATTACGACCGTTAGTAACCGTTTACGATACGGCGAATTACGGTGCATGCCAAAACGTCAAATTACGGCGATTTACGGTCGGAAATGTTATAAAACGGTAGTATACGTTGCCGTTTACGATCGTATCAGGTCGTCGTAATGTTCGACCAGGGAATGTGCCATGATTCAAATTTAACGAAATGCTCTTCTGGTGATAAATTAATAGATAAATCTTCATCAGAATATTTACAAGCTACGTAAAGTGCACTTTAACTTTTGCTAATAACTACTCTACTCTTTCTGTCCATTGGCAGGATTAGAAAAATGTTCACAGGTGAGTTAAGATTATATACTGCTTTTCTATTATATTGTGGATTTGATAGATCGACTTCGACTGTGATGAACCATTACCACTGGACTGGTCAGACCTGCCCGATGCCCAGGTCCATCATTCCGATCGCCTGAAAGATGGCATTAAACTGCCTGAAGCGGTCAAGAAACGGCGCAATTAATGCCCTAGACGATGAAAAAGGTCGAGAGATAAAAGGACTCTAATTTCACCCTTTATCGTCTCAATCTCGTCGTTTTTGACCGTTAAAAATTAGTGTTATGTTGCTCATTTATATTTTATTTCTCAAAATAAATTGAAATAAAACTAAAATATAATAAAATAAAATAAAAATGGAAAAACTAAGTACAATAAAATCAAATACACTAACATAAAAAGAACTAAATAAATACAATAATCTAAAAAAATTTTGTTTAATTAATTTAATTAAATAGAATAAACCAAAAAAAATCTACTAATCTAAAGAATAGAATAAATAAAATAATACTAAAAAAAATAAAAACAATAAAATACAATAGAAATTCAACAAATAAAATAATATAAAATATAAAATAAAATGAATACAAGAGGTTGAACGACAGTGTCTAAGTATTTATTTTACCCATATTTCTATCTCCAAATAAAACAGATGCAAAACGGTAAAAACGTTCGTCTTAGAAGATAGTCGTGTCCGACAACACGGAAACCGTCACCTAAAAGGCCATCGTTTTCAGTCGTTTAGAGTCGCTTACGGACCGTTCTATTCTACATAGGTAATGATGATTTAATAAGAAGTGATGCTAGTTCAATGGTCAACAATTGACATTCAATTCGATAAATGTTTTCTTTATCAACACACTTGAACAATACATCAGTAAATCAATTGCAAATAATACTTTAATACTATATATGAAAGCAGTTCATTACTATGCACAAAAGTATTTAATTGATGATAGAAATCAAAACAATTATCTAATTTTGCAATCATAAATCGCTTATCAATCAAAATTTTATAGCTGATTCGTATTTTCTCACTCTTAATTTTACACAATTCGATAGAGTTTTTCACTAACTATAGATTCATGTAATTTGTTTGAAAATAAAGCTGCGAGTATGTCCGAAGTCAGGACCGACTTGTGTTGAGCGATTTCAACAGAAATCGTTTCCATTGAATTTTAATGACCTGCTCGTGTAGACACAAAGGAAATTATGATAGAAAGTATGCCTTATGGTTTCCAAATGTTTTAGCTTAGTGTTTACAAGTCTAGGATCCAATTACTTCTTCAACTTTCTGTGTATCTTTTGGTTGCGAAGTTTTACGGATATGTACTTGTTACTTAATGCAAACCAAATGAATTATATCTGATTACATAGGCCGCGAAAAATACTTGAAAATCGATTGTCAAAAATGTAAAAAAATAATTTCTAGGCGAAATACTTCTTGAATACCGTTCAATTACTGTGCTGGTGTCCAGTATAAACCATCCTATGCGCTAAAATTAGAGATTACCCACTCTGTATTATATACCATTAGATAGAGTTTTTTACGGGCTACAAATCCATGCATAGTTTGTTTGCAAATAAAGCTGCAAGCATGTCCTGAGTCCAGATTGTTTTGCTTAGATCAGCAAAGATGGGATTTTTTGGCCGATATTAAGTATTTTGGGTCATAATAATTACTTTTTAGCCAAAACAAATAGTATATTCAGAATCAGAATAAAAAATAGGGTCGATGTATACAAGTTACAAAGTTTTCTGATGACTTTTATTGTTCGGCTTTTTTCTTGATGGGTGTGGGTGTGGTTACTAATATTCAATACACCCACACCCACACTCATTGTGTCGAAACCCATGAAGATATGAATTCAAACAAAACAAAACTTGGTACATATCGATTAAAAATTACCATAGAATACAAAGCTATTTAGAAAATCAATTGTTTAAATAATTATTGATGAAGAAAACAATTTGGACTGTACGATTTCCTGATAGTAATAAAATCGCTCTTCAACGTACACAATATATTCATTTGATGTATTCACACTATTTCTACTTTAATCTAGTATCTATTTCATATTGAAAAATTCCTACACGTCTTCTACAAAAAGAAATATTTGAAGTTTCATTTTATTATAACCATACAAAAGTGTATCTTCATCTGCCGAGTTAGGAACTTCTGTTAGAAAAGAACGAGTAATTGAATTCTGTAGATAGTGTAAGTCTTTCTGATAAACTTTACCAAATTTAATTCAACCTATAATTTTAAGAAAATTTAATTTCGAAAGACCATTGCTAAGTATATGTGAAATTTTAATGAGTTCATCGTTAGCACCATTTAGTTCTATGATTTGCAAATGAGGTAATCGTTCGACGATTAAATAGGCAATATTTATCAAATCTGGTTGATCCCTACCAGTAGAAAGATAGAGTTGTCGTAATCCATTAGACTGCATAAAGAAGCATCGTGAAGAAGATCGATTAAACTTTGCTCTTTTAAACCAAATTTTCTATTGTATTCTGATCGGTAATGCAGTTGTAGATTACGTAGATTAGTCAGATGTGAAAAGAGAAAGTGTAGTTGAATTGAATTGAATGGTTGACCAATACAAAGCGATGTAACTTGATGCCAACGAACGACAGGTGGTGAAAAAGAAAGAAAATCATCGTTGATTCCATCATAAATAACACTCATAACAATCAATTGGCACTGGTTCTTTGAGCTGTTCAAGCGTGTCAGATAAGATTTAATTTGTTTCTAGTGGTTTGATTACAGTTTTCACAGACCAGCTAACAGAAAACGAATATAAGCATTGAGAGGAAAGCATCGATAGTAAATTGTGAAGAACATAGGGAGTATTCACTTCTGCCACTAATATGGAGTTGACTAGTGAAAATAAAACATCACATTCATGATACATTCATTCCATTTTACATTAAGGTAACGTAGATTGGGAGTACGACTTCTATTAATCGGAGTAACTCGACTAAAATGGATTAACAAGATCGTTCAGGTAAGATCTTTTCATAAATTTTCTGATTTTCTACTAAACCACCGACCTCCTAATCAGTATTTAATAAATAATACTTCTGAAAAACTTGTGAGAAAATTTTCTCAAATATCCCCCGGTCCCATTTAACGACCAATAGATGACGAAGATTGATAAATGTAGATACATTTTCAGCTGACCATAAGCCATTATCAATAGCTAATGTATCTGAGACATCTAATGAAATAAGACGATTATCAATGTTTGGCTGTGATAAATATCTATAATAAAATTCGGTTAGCGCTATACTCATGCCATTGAAACCCAAGTAAACGGACATCAATGGCGTTTTATGAATAATAGCCGCAAATTTTGAATTAAGTTTCGAAAAAATATTGAATACTTCGTGAAATTGAAAGTAAATAAATATTTCATAGAGTAATTCGACAGAGAGATGTTCCAATGTTGTTGCCATAGTTTGTTTTAATATTATGATATTGAATATTGTGCATCATTCTGATATAATGGCTTCAAAACAATATTACAAAGCATTATTGTTCTTTCTGACGATAGTCACCGCATAAAATGACGTTATTATTGCTAGTTCATTCATCAACGTAAGCACGTTTTTTTTCTCTAATAGCATGCTTATAAGAGGCGACAATAAAATTTAGTCATTCAACATGAAAAATTAAGTCATATGTAAAAAAAAACGAATTTTATAGAATGGAAAAAAGTAGAAAATGTTTATGAATGTTCATGCTGCATAAGCTGCTGATCTTCCAAAAGTATTACCTAAGCCACCCGAGTAGATAAATTTAAAGAATAAAATTTCACCGGTGAATATAAGAGCAGAGAAAATAATGCCACAAGCGAGACCAGCTGTTGCTGCACTGCCAAGACCTTTTTCACCTCCTATCAAATATAGAAAAAAGATCGGACGCTATTGTTTGCAAGAAATATAACTAGAAGAATGATTACCTGGTCCAGTTGTTGTTGTTGTTGTTGCATTCTGAGTAGTTGAAGTCCCAGTCGTGGTCGTTTTTGCATTCTGAGTAGTTGAAGTCCCAGTGGTGGTCGTTGTTGCATTCTGAGTAGTTGAAGTCCCAGTCGTAGTCGTTGTTGNGTTGTTGTTGTTGCATTCTGAGTAGTTGAAGTCCCAGTCGTGGTCGTTTTTGCATTCTGAGTAGTTGAAGTCCCAGTCGTAGTCGTTGTTGTAGTAGTAGTAGTTGTAGTAGTTGTAGTAGTTGTGGTAGTATCAGTGATAGTTGTACCTCCAGTAGTTGTACTTTCAGTAGTTGTTGTTGTGATAGTAGTAGCAGTAGTTGTTGTTGTGATAGTAGTAGCAGTAGTTGTTGTAGTAGTAGTAGTAGCAGTGGTAGCAGTAGTAGCAGTAGTAGTAGTAGTGGTAGTAGTGGTCGTCGTTGTTGTTTCAACTTCCAAAGGGGTTTGCAAGTTACATGTCGTAATATTTTGATTACAAAAAAAACTTGTACAAGCACAATCTGCAAAAGGCATCGCCGCTGGAGTCATATAATTGAAATAGACGCTACTTTGTGTTTCATTGTATGAGTCTACCGATACTAAGTTTACTACAGTTTTTATTTGATAAACCTTGTCAGAAAGATAAGTTTCGTAGCTTTCGTCGATTAAGGATTCCTGTGTTGTTGTAGTTCCACTGACTGTGATCGCACATAATACACTATTTTTTCTGGCATAATCTTGACATAGTGGAATGTTGATAAATGGATGCATACTACATGTATAATTGTCATTGGATGTGTCGTTGCATGAAATAATCAAAGTTAGATTTGGCATGAATTCTGCCGATCCCAACATGTCTGTAGAATTATTAGCTGAATTTTGACAAGAAGTTAAATTTTCGTTACAATTATCGGTTGCACAAACACAAAGATCCATAGATGTGTACGTTTCGTATGGGAGTGTTCCGTCACAAATCCAAGCACCGGTGTCTGCTAGTGACCTAGCCACAGTAACGTTACAAGCCTTTTCAGTTAATCGACGAAATGTATTCATATAACGAAGACCATTGTATACTGTAGATGATATATTTGATGCTGCAGTCTGACTTCGATAAATACGAATAGCACAAAACTGAAAATTATTGGATGCTGTTGAATCAGATATCGAGTAACAGCTGATGTTGCGTGCGACAGTCATATTCCCCACACTTTCGTTGAAAAAGCTATCTACACCATACGGAATGATAGTTAACGAATAGAGAAGAATAACGGCATAAAGTCGAAGCATTCCTATTTTGATTTTGTTTGTTTGAAAATTCACATTTTGAAATAAACTTAACAAAAAAGTACGATAGCTTTTTTCCTTTTATTACTAATTGATAGAAGTGCGAAGAGAAAAAACAAGAATACCTGAGGCAGTTTGTTTGAGTAGTATAAAAAAAAAGAAATTATCGAGCGATAGATACACCTCGAAATGAAAAAAAAACAATCAAATGAAAGTTTAATACATGATGCTCATGATTTTGTATTCTAGAGTTGTTCAACTATCATCATATATCATGAATTTTAATTCTTTTACAACCAAGAAATTATTTGAACAGGCCATAGTAACCCAGTGAGAAAAACTTTCAATAAGGTCGGTTTTCAGTTTACAGCTGTAGCTGATGCCTACATGCTTGTTGTCCTTCTCTATCACGAGATTATATAAATGACGAATTTCAATGCACTTCAATTAAATTTATATGCAAACAAAAACAAAACCCGAAAAAATATAAACTTAAAAATAAATCACACTACATTCTATATCTGTCAAACAGGAACACCAAAAATCTACATTTTATTAACTAATACAATCACTTCCGACAATTCCTTCTTCATCAAGAACATCAAAATATACTCGAGGTAGTGCACAACCAAGTGCAGCTATCAGTGGTTCTCGTTTGAGTTGACATATTCGCGGTGTATTTTGTCCTACAATCGATTGTAGAAATGCTGTTAAATCTTGTCTAGCTTGCTTTTCTAATTGAAAAAATTCTCCTGTCAACATACAATAATTGACTGATGGATAGAGTTTAAGTAAAAGTTTAATAATTAATGCCATGTTCATTGTAAACATTGATAATAACGAACGATGCATAGCTAAACATGTTTGCAATGATGACAGTTCAAGAAAACTATCATCGGTTTGCGTATGTACATCATAGGTAATTAAATTCGCGTCATACGATGATGTTCGTCTATTCATCCAACCGCGATAGATATAATGTGATGTTGACGAATGAGTATAATCAGAAGGTAAATGTCGTTGTGGTATACGAGTAAAACTCGTTAGTGGTACTTGAAATGAAAAATTTGTTGATGAACGATGACAATTTTTACATAAATTTAAACGTGTAAAATCATACGAAACAGGCGATGGACGTCGAATGGTCGAAGAAGAATTCCTTGAAAAGAAAATTGAAAAATAATTTATCAGCGAGCGCATAAATATGTGATGATTAGATTGAAAAGAAAACACAGATCATATTTACATGAGTTCATCATTGGTCGGGTCATATCCAGGTTGTAAAAATTTCATTAAATTCGAATAAGTTTTATAACATAAATTATTCGATGTTAATACGGAATAGTTACTTGGTGAATGAACAATATAAAAAAATGTACTTGCCGCTTCAGCATGAAGAAGTATATAGGGATAGAGTTGATATTCATCTGTCATAATTTTATTATCTAACGTATCAATTAATTCATCTTGATTATCAATATTAATCATTTGATTGTTGCCAAGGAAAAAATCTAAACCAATCATATATGATTCAGCACGATATTGAATAATATCAAAATTTAAATTTATTTTATTTAAACGCGAAGATATTTTTAATTCGTAGTCATATTTTTGTTCACCTGTTAAGGCAATATTAAGTACGAATGGAGATGGCATTGAAGAATTATAAGTTATAAATGATTGTAAATGCACAAGAACATGATCAAATTCATCATGTGTCAATGTAAATAAACGAAGGTTTGCTTCTTGTTCAATTATTGTTTGTAGTTTAACATTTGATATAGACCAATTTTTATTTTCATTATTAAGAATTAATGAAATCAGATAACGTTGGAAAATTACTGTAGAATAATCGACATTTTGAGGATAGAGTTCTATTAACACAAGAGCTACGCCCGTCATTGTTATATCAATTCCAATGGCAGGTACATCATAGGATGGTGATGAATAATTATCCTTTTGATCATCTAACGTTAGATTTGATTCTTCGTTTTGCGATGGTACAGCTGGAAAAAAAGAAATTTGATCGCATATAAACAGATGGACGGCCTATACTTTTTTCATGGGAAATGAAAATTCTTACTCTCTATAGCTCTATTCGATATATTATTATGTTTTTAACAACTGCCCGAAATGCCATATTCTCTGCATTTATTTATTCATATGGCAGACGTCTATTGTTAGCACAGTCATGCTTAACTAATCACAAAATTCAATGATACGAATGGATTTCAAGTATTCGCGATCTGGAAAGAGCAAAATGAATAACCATGCATATTAATACGTTTTGTATTGATAAGGATTTCTTTGTTTTTGCATCTTTTAAGTAGATCAGCGGAATAAGTAATCTAATATACAAAGAATAACATATGGATAAACTTATGATGAAAATAATCTTTGGTATTTAATCTATTGACTCTAGACTGTCTCGCGATCATTATGTCACCGTAACCTTTGAATATTTTAGTACACGATAGAAAAATATTCGACGTTAACCCAATTAGAATATTTAGAAAATTAAAATAATCAGATAAGTAATATTTTTAGGCTTACTTGTAGGAATTAATAATTCAGATATTTCTTCTTCAATAACAACAACTTGAGATTCATGTTCCGGTATCGTTGATATAGACGAGTTGGATCGTGATGAAAAAGTTGACGAACTACTTGACGATGCATCTCCATCGTCCATCGATAAAAGACTTGAATAATGTGACGACGATGATTTTTGTTCATGAAGTGTTTTTGACAGTGATGATGATGATTCAATATTTTCTCCATTTTGATTTTGTCCATTAGTAGGCTTTTTTGTTAGAAGTTCAACAAGTTTTGTGACAGACTCAAATGTTTTTATTGGTCGCGTTATAGTTATATTTGATTTCATTGTAGACGGACCACGTTTTGGTTTATAAAAATAATCACTATTTTCCGTGCGTAATCGCTCAAACGAACATGGTGATAACGAACGATAGAAAAAACTTGAACGATTGCGTTCACCACCAACATATTCATCGTCATTTGTACTTGCCATAATATGTAATTTTCAATACGATCTATTTTGTGGAATAATTCTAGAAGAATATATTGAAAAAAATGAACTATGAATTCTTTTACATACTTTTTATTTTTCCGGTCTTTCTATTTCCTGTTATAATATGCTACTCAAAAGATGATTAATGCATGAAACCGCACATACAGCTGCTATTATGTCATTGATATAATATTCAAAAAGTAAAGAGAAATAGAATAATGAATAGCCTAATTAAAACTGTCTTTTGTCTATGGGATAATTTACTATGACTTTTCTGTATGTCTCTGACAAAGACGTGGGACAATAGTTTGCCTGCGTTTTCTTAACCAAACATTCTCTGCATACCAGAAAAAGATGGAGAGCAGTAATAACAATCAACGGTAACCTTCGAGAACAGAAGAGAAAAAGTAATAATTCAGTCAATGTGTAACAGATTGATATTACGACATTGAACGCAAATTCTATTCACTCAAAAAGTCTTCATCTATATTAGAGATACGATGGAATATTTAACAATATAACAATTAATAAGCGAACGAACGAAAGCATTGGTGATTAATGATGCCTACGTGTTTGTTCATTTTCTACGAGTAACAAACAATAAATGAAAGTTTTATCTTACATGAAATTTGTTATAGGCTCGTTTTTCATCTATTATCAGTATGTCAAGTAAATGTGTAAATATAGCTAAATACTAAATCGTATACCTATACTGTATATCTCATAAAATTATGCAAATCATCCAAGAGAGAACGACGTATAGATAAAAGACAACGTAATATTTTCTTACGCATTGCGTAGAAAAAAGAAAAAAGAAAAGAAAGATAATTATATCGAAATGCATCATTAAGAAGACATTCTAGTGAATATTATAAATACTTGTTATATTGAAGAATAAAAGCGTAAATAATATAGACATTATTCATGTCAAGTACATGTACTAGGCTACATCTTTTGTACATGAGGATAATACCGATGTTGTTTTTTTCAACAGCAACTTATCGTTATATAAGCATAAACATAGTCACTTTCATTCAGAATATTTTATGTTGAGAACTGAACTACGTGATTGAAAAGGTAAAAAGGCGAAGAATGTATAGACAAAAAGAAAAAGAAAAAAGCCTTGTACAAGAGTCACGACCTTCAAACTCAGGTGTATACTTTCTATTACGGCAGTGATGCGTGTTCAACATGCTTGCTCGTCATCTTGCACATCGAGCATGCACTGTTGAAGTAAAATTAGCATAATACACTCGATACGACGAATGTAAGATGCGAATGAGCGCATTAAGTGGCCCATAGTAGAAGCACTACTACTACAATCAGCATTATATATCGAAAGTAGTCGTAATAAAAATAGAAATTCTTTTATTTCTTCTCGTTAATTTAATTTTTTCTATCGACATTTGTATTGTATCATTGTAATTGATTGCATCATCAAAGCGAACACTGTATTCTATTGTATTCTACTTGAAAATTTAATTATCTTTTGTTAATTTTCGTAAGAAATTTATCTGATTATTTTATTGTAAGTATTTTAGTCTTTCTTCTTCTTCTTCTTCTTCTTCTTTTTCTCTCTATCCTGTTGAACAAACATAAATAATCATTGTGTTGAAATAATTCTAATTGATCTTTATACTTTATGCATTATTGAAAACGATGGATTTCTTTTTAGCCGATTATCAAATGTCATATCAATAATTCAAAAGTTTCAGAAGCATTTTACTGTTTGAATTATCTAGATTACATGTAATAGCCAGCAAATTTATTATTCTATCCAAAGTACATTTTTTGTATTTCTCCTCTATTTACGTCATTTTAGTTTACCCGTCTGGCATGTACCTGTACCAATGTTTAATCTGCTTTGATACTAAAAGAACACATATTTATTGACCCTTTTGATTGCACATGTACGGATTGCACAGACGTTTTTTCTTCTTCTTCTTCTTCTTTCATAATATTCTGGGTACTATAGAGAGTTTTGAAATTATTCTATGAATAAATATTCTTGTAAGCTGTCATATTTTTTTGTTTGGTTATATTCGATCAAAAAATATATGAGAATAGCTTGATAATTAAAAAAATATTAAATATTAGAAACCTAAGGATATCTTTTGAATTTTTCAATGATCAAAATCGATAGGGACAATATATAATATGTTTTTTTCTTCAGTACGAATTTTGATAGATCTTATTGTAAATTTTCAATCATATAATTTGATATTTATTGATTGTATCCAATATCGATTTAAATAGGCTAAAAAAATAGAGGTAATATTAAATCTTTGGAGTTTTTCTAAATAACTAAACGTTGGTATATGTAAGAACAAAAAAGGCATTGAAATTTATTTTCTTAAATATTTTTTATCTTATTATCTAGTTCTTTTTCGAAAACGTGGATTTTCATCTGAACCATCGTGAACAGTAAAAATAAAATGGGTTCAGGTTTTTTCTGTTCCACCACGTACAAACAGTTTATTACTCATACGAAGAAATCATCGTCTAGTGATAAATAAAGGGTGTGCATGTAACTGTTATCCATATTTTAGCCCACATTGACACACTCAATCTAAAAGGAGACAAATAAATGCATCATTCAAATCGAATGTCGGATCTGTGTGCGTGTGCGTGTGGATGACATACCAAAAACTGTATATCTAATGATTTGTAAAGTTCTATAACTGATGAAGACTCCAATGCTACGGCACGAACTCATTTTTATTGTTTCTCATAAGCGCAGGATGTGGATGTGAATGGAGTGTTCGTTTCACTGATTCACTTCCACACCTAGTAGATGTCAATCTTTGATGTGGGATTATCATAAGATACGGCTGTCATCTTTTCAACATCCTTGATGATACCAACGGCTACCGTATGATTCATTTGACGAATAGTAAAGTGACCCAACGATGGATAGTCTTGAAAGTTTTCAACGCAGGCAGGCTGTAATAAAACCAATTTGACTGTAGCGAGGTCGCCTGATTTTATAAAATTTGAAGATGCCTCAATTGCCTCGCCCGTTTGATAATCGATCTTGTCGAGAAATTCAACCAATTGACAATTAATACAAGCCGTATGGCAGTAGACCATAAGTTTGTCGCCTAGCTCAATTTCACTTGGGCTATTAAGCATAGCAATCTGAAAAAAGTATTCGTTCAAACATTACTTGATTGAATGAATCTGAACTTCCTATTCAAAATAAATCCTTCTCTCAAAAATAAAAGAGCATTATTTTATATTATAGAATTTTACAGTATTCTATTGAATAGATGTCCTGATCTATGGTCACAATTGGGAAGGTTTTTAGAACAAATATGCGCATCTAAATACTGCTATTTCGATGTATGAGATGGATCGTCTGTACCTGAGCAATGAAACTTGTTGTCTCTTTAGCCGGATCGTTTTTTTGTGTCTGAGCAGATGAAACCACGACGCAATTCTTTCGCACGAATTTTACCAACATTGAAACACACAATATTATCGGGTAAGGCGTCTATAAATAATCATATTATCCATTTATCAAGAGTAGATAAAATAACCTTGTAAATTTGTGTACTGCATTTCAATTGATCGGACTGTAGACGTCAGATTAGACGGGGCGAAACAAATAGACATGCCTACTTTAAGAACACCTGTATCAACTCGACCAACTACCACTGCTCCTATGCCGTTTACTTTATAGATATCCTGTACGGATAAACGAAGTGGCCTATCGACGAATCGCCGCAATTGAATGATGACATCAAGAATTTCAAAAAATGTCTTGCAAATAGTACTGCCTTCATTGGTTTCCTTGGTCTAACCTTTGAACCAAGGCATATTATTCGATATTGTTACCAAGTTATCACTTTCCCAAGCGGAGATTGGCACAAAAGCCACATGATCTAATTGATAGCCGACTTTTTTTAAATAATGGGACACTTCACTTTTTATTTGATTGAAACGATTTTCATCATATAACACATCGTCAGCGTCCATCTTATTTACAGCAACAACCATTTGTTTGATACCCAACATGTAGCAAAGTAAAATTTGTTCACGCATTTGACTATTGTCAGCACTGCAGATCTTGAACTCAGCAACACAAGCTGACACAACCAAGATCACACAGTTCGCCTATGCAATATATGGATAAAATTGTGCGAAAGATAAAACAAATATTTTTCGATAGCTCGTTTTTTATGTGTGACCTCTCGCTAAAAAAGCCTATGTTTTTGAACGAATAGTCAAAGAATACCAGCATTATTTTGTCCATCATGTTCAAGAAATCATGTTGATCCGCAGTTTTTGTCATGGTGATATGATACTTGGCAGTCGTAAACTTATTCATCCAGTTATCGGGAAAGAAGATGAGCGATTGTGAAATTTGGTGCTTAACTTGTTCCAAGGCTAATTTGAATGAGACACAGCCCGTCTATAGAATAGTAGAAATATTGTGCAGAATAACATTGATATAAATATAAGGGACAACTAACAGCAGCGGCTTCCTTTTCGCATTTCTCTCTGGTTCGTTCGATCAAAATGGACTTGCCTGAGTGTACATTGCCAATGACGATAGTGTTGACTTCAGCTTTTCTTGATTCATTGATAAAGTCTACTTGACGCTGCTTCAACTTGAGAGAAAACTAATGATGAAAAATGAAACATACAGAAATCATGTGAAATAATTTCACCAGTATTGCGCAATAATCTGACGTAGTTGTGATATTTCAACGGACATGCAGGATTGCAAAACATATCTATTTTTGAGAGTGTGAGCGCGGATGATGAAAACACTCTCCGCCTAATTAACATCCACACCTTATTCTTTTCTACTTTAGTTTGCTTTTCATCGGTGAATTGATTTAAGTGTTGTTGCGATGGATACATCATTTCATTTATGCTTTTTCTTTCTGTGTCATCTAGGTCTTTCGGAATGAAATTTTTCTTTTTATAACAACGAAACAGCAACACAATACAATTAAGTTTCAATGATTTGAAGTTTTCTACAGATGAATAAAAGAAGAAAAAAATTTCTGAGCTATTTTTTCATATTTTATTCATCCAAGTATTCTATTCAAATAAATCAGTATAACATGAAAATTTACTGTATCAATTCGATTTCCATCTGACACATGTATGAAAAAGTCATTTGACGCAGATAATGTTCCGAGTGGCATCGCAAGAATGATAGAGACAAACTTTCGTGATTATGTATTCTTAAAACTCTTGCGAAAGAAAAAGCACATTGAGATCTTGTTATTATCATTTTATTTTATTTTTCTTCTTTAGTTTGTTTCTTTTTTTTTCGATGTCGTTAAATTTCATCATGGACACCTATTTACTGCCATCTGTGTTCTTGTCCGTCTGTCGAATTGTCGAGGGCTCGATTTAGATACGCATCACTTCCAGTCCTGACTGGTTGTCTGCGTTTACAATGTTCGTGAATATCCGGCAGACGGATAATAATTCCTGTACCTCCCTATAGTCCGATTGTTACACTCGCGCTGTCATTTTATTTTAGTTTTGTTTCCTAAATTACTCGATTGTTTATTGTGAATAAGCTAAAAAGAATATTTGAAATTCTTTAAAAAGAACAGAAAAGATAATTTCATTGTAATGTGACACGAATATAAATAACGTCCCTATAGAAATTCAAAAAGAAAATTTAGTTTTTATGATTATATCTTACCCTCAGTCACGATCAATCTATTTAAATAAGTTTAACTTTTCTTTCTTCAAAAACAACAAGAAAAAAGAAAATTCGAAAATTTATCGATTATTATCTTGTATATTAACAATCATAGACTATCATATATGCAACTATATTAACTCATTCATTCAACAACAACAATATTATTATAAAGTTCCTAATCTACCAGGAGATTCATCATGCAAAACATTGAAATAGCGTATATCTAATGGCAAAGTTCCAATCATATTTTCAGATACTTGTCGAAGTACTTTAGCATAGCTATGCATCATTTTCTAGGAAGCTCTATATTCTATAACTTACGAAGAAAGGAAAATCATGCTTTTCTTTTTATTTCTTTACCGTTCTTCTCACCTTCTCATATGGAAAAACGTTCGTTGCTAGCGTTGTGCCATGTTACTAAGCATTTGTCCTTTTTATTAGAAGCAGAATGATTTTGAAACATGATGGAAAAAATCTCGTGTCCATAGAAGTTCTTCAAAACTGATGCATATCTTAAGGAAGCATGATTCCTGGAAAATAGAGGCATAACTATAGTTTAGTGACGTTTCATGGAAAAGAGAAAGGATCGTCTTGGCATAAAGCAATTAGTAACAGCAGCCGCTGATTTATCTCATCTTGCTATTGCTACAACATCAAGTAAATTTTCATCATCTTCAAGTTTTTATCCGTCAGCTGTTTTTATTGCTTCGTCAAACCCGTTAAATGAAGTTTGCACACTTGATAAATATAATTGGTTTCTACATAGAATGTATACTCGTGGAGAATATGATCGTATTCAACAATTTATACATATTCAATCGCATAAAAGTACTTATATGACATATGTTCAAGCACTTGTTCATCGACAAAAAGGACTTATTGTTGAAGCACTTGATTGTTTTCAACGCTGTGCTATTGAAAGTCCATCTTTAATAAATATAAAGCAAGTAGCTAAATCATTAGCATTACTCCGACGCTATCGATTAGCAATCGATGCCTATAAAGAAGCATTAACATTGACAACAAACGATTGGGAAATCTTGCACAATTTAGGTTTATGTTATACGCATTTAAATGAATTAAAACAAGCAAAAGAGTATTTTTTACAAGCCTTACAAGTCACAGAAATACAAGATGCATCGTTTTTAGCTCTTGGTAAAGTTTATCTCTTAGAAGGTGAACGGACTGAAGCTGAAGCACTTTATGAACAAGGTGTTAGACGTAATCCTGAATCAGTTGAACTCTATACTCAACTTGGTCTTGTGGCATTTGAAGTAAAATTTAAAGTCTTCCTCTTTGCAGTTTTGTTTTTCTTCAAATAATTCTGTTTTTAGAAAGCAAATTATACAAAAGCATTCGAATGTTTTGGTACAGCATTAACATTTAGTCCAACGCATACACCTGCTATAATGGCTGCTTGTCAAGTTATACAAAAGCATGGTGATGCTGATGTTGCCCTATCGAAATATCGCATTATTTATAGACGAAAACCTGAATGTGTACAAGTATGGAATAATATTGGCATGTGTTTTTTTTCGAAAAAGAAATTTGTTGCTGCTGTTAGTTGTTTAAAACGTGCAAATTATTTAGCACCATTTGAATTATATGTTTTATATAATTTGGCACTTGTACACTTATATTTACAGCAAAATGCATCAGCTGCCATATTTCTAGAGTCAGCTATTAGAATTAATAAAAGGCATGCGCCCAGTTATACTTTACTAGGTGAAAGAAATTTTCAATATTTCGATTATTTTATCGTTGCTATTCTCTAATTAGGTATTACTTTATCGAAATTAAACGATTTTAATAATGCTTTAAAATCTTTTAACTATTCTCTCAAAATTGATCCAACCGATCCAATAGCTTTACTCAATTTAGCTATTCTTGAAGCCAATACAGGTGTTTCACAATCAAAAATTGATAAAACTCTAAAACAATTTCATCAATATTATTCTCAACGAGCTACTTCAATGAGTCAATATGAACTCGATACATCTATGTTAGATATTGCTGCACAATTAGAAAGTCAATCGCAAATATCTATTCAAAATAATGATGAAAGTTTAACATCAACATTTACATCTAGAGAACCACTTGATAATATGATCCAATGAATTGCTCACTATAAAACTCTTTTCAAATTTAACTGCTATTAAAAACGGATTCATAATAGAATACAAGATAAGCAATAATTTCATCTGATACTAAACCTGTGCAAAATAGACAAAGTCAACAATCACAATTTCTACTTTGATCAATGTGCTTGCTTCATGTATTATTGTTTGTAGAAAGCTTAATGTAAATGTATCATTCCTTATGATTGAGACATGACTACCATGCTTTTTGACCTTTATGTAGTTTTGTTTCGCAAAAATGTTTTTTTAATTAAAAGTTAACTAACCAATTATTATTGAATCAGCAATAAAAATTTACGCTTTAAATTTTAATACAATAAGATCGACTGTAAATGAAATCCTTTTGTAGCTCATATGTAAAACATTGAGTAAAATAAACCACGAACAGCACAACGTGGTTCGATGGTGTAGTGGTTATCACGTCTGCTTCACACGCAGAAGGTCGCGAGTTCAAGCCTCGCTCGAACCTTATTCTTTTTTTCTTTTCTGCAGTTATAGAGGAATGGAACATTATTATAGAGGAGCGATAGTCAATAAATCTTTTTTCTTTCTGAATTGAGCAGTACGAATATTTGTAAGCGGTAAATTCTATCCGACTTATCAGATAAAAACTATATTTGATTATGTATTTTTTTAATTTGAAAACGGAAGGCTTCAACCTTGAAGTTTTCACTATGGATATTGATGCATGAGTTCAGGTGTGGGTGTGGTTTAACTAGTTGTCCACAACCAAACCCACACCCACACTCTCAAGAATTGCTTTCAAAAAAAAATACTTGATGATTTTGCGAGACATCAATTTCGAGGTGTCTATATGGGGACCTAGCTGAGCTCCTCAAACATGAAACTTATGTTTTTTACTGGTCAACGTTACTTCAGTAGATTCAGATTTTCATGCTGACTTCGATGATGGTAGTTTTCTAAACCTAGAACATTGTTAAACTAGGTAAATTTCGAGTTTTCTCTAAAAAAGTGAAATACTCACTTTTTCAGGTGTAGTTTGTATTTTGGAAATTTCTCAACCAAAACGGAAGCCTAGAAACATTTTATAGATGATATTCATGATCTACTCATCGAGCTCTATCTACCATGTAATAATAAAGGACGTTTTTTTTTATCCTGCTCGATTTTTGACTTTGGTGCACCGTACTTCTTTTACAAATTCAATGATATTTCTTAGTAACCCTTTCGCAGTGCAACGTTTTCTGCAAAATGATTTCGGTCAATGGCAAGGCCTGCCTAACTAATATTCATCGTCACTTTCGTTAGCATCCCATGTTTTGTGTCGACATTCAGCCACTCAAAATATATACTCAAAATTCAAACTAAATATCATCTAGTGTCGATGATAAAGACCTTGATTTTTGTCCTCATAAAGATCTGATTCAACCATTTAAAATGCTTCTTGGTGTATGGTAGTAACACAAGCAATATAGTAAATCAAGTATATAGGGCACTTTGATAGTATGAGTCAGTCTTTTTGAAAGACAACTGATAAAGAAGAAGTGTGCACACAACATAATCATATCATGAAACTTTTTTTTACTGATTTCTATGAGAGAAAAGAGTGTTTAGATTGTTTTTTATTGCTAAATATTTAGGATAAATAGTTGAAATATCTATGTGTATATTACGCAATGGCCATGAATAACACAAATGAATCGATTATTTCTGATGTTGATGAAATTATAAGACCGGAGTCAGTGCGGCAAATTGATCCTACAATCCTGCAGTCGCTTACATTGAAAGTAGAAAATAATTTGACTGACTATATTATTGTTTTCGTTGATGAAAACTTGAAGATGAATGATTGTCAAACGTTACTCATTGATATTCAACAGAAGATGGATGACAATATACACGGCTTTGATAATATTGAATCTTGTCTGGCATTCATTCAAGTGAATAAACATTGCAAAATTTTTCTTATCATTTCTGGTGTACTCGGTGAAATGCATTGTAATCAATTGGTTTCAACATGTCAAATAGAATGTATTTATGTATTTTGTCGTCTACATTCAAAGCATACCATATGGGCTCATAAAATTCCAAAGATTCGTGCTGTTTTCGAAGATAAAACAGAACTTTTAACTTTGATTTATAATGATATTAAGGAATTCGCAAGCCGCTGGTCATTTGCACATGGAAATGCGTTTGAAAAAGCATCAGCGGCTAATAGTCGCTTATATCATTTGTTTATAAGAATTTTAATTGAACACCCACGCACTTCTGATGCCTGGAAGAAAATGCTTGACGAATATCGTTTATTTTATCGACGATCAACAGGCATGTTGAAGGAAATTGATGCTTTTGAGAAAGATTATACTCCAGAGAAAGCTATAGATTACTATACTCAAGATAGTTTTACCTATCGAATCATCAATCGTGTATTGCGAACTCGTAACATTGATATTATCACGAAATTTCAGCCATACATCAGCGATTTGTCTAAACAATTGGATAAACTTTATTGGCGTTCTACTCATACTCATTGGAAACAAAAATCAATACAACCTATTCGAGTTGCTTATCGAGGTCAATATATGAGAAAAATTGAGCTCGAGCAATTGAGTGAACGTTGTCGATCACAAGATTCACTTGTCTTTCTCAATATGTTTGGTTCGGCATCGCTTGATCCAAAAATTGCATTGGGATTCATTCCCTGCGATCGACCAGGTTGGATTCCTTGTTTTATGGAAATTGTCATCTGCTATCCGGATAATGCTTCAAACAGATTGCCTTGTTCATCTTCTCAACGATTTGTTGATATTACAACACATACTACGATGCCTCATGAAAAAGAGGTGCTTTTCAATTTAGGGAGTGTCTTTCGTGTGAAATATATCGGGAAGGAGACAAAACAACGGCATTGGATACCTATCATATTAGAATTATTTGTTGATGAATTCAAATTTGATTATAATTGGAATTTCTTGAGTTCCCAACTACATCATGAAACAGATGATATGAAGGAGGAACTATTTGACTTTATGAAAAAGTACGCACAGACAGCAAATGAGATTGATTGGTCTAAATGGTGGCGTCAGTTTGAAAAAACATATGGATCAAGAAAACGCGACAACGAACCATTTGTGGTAACCATGTACGAATGCTTGGGTGATCCGGAATCAAATAATAAAGTCATCGAATTACGTAAACGATCGTTTACGAATAACAATCGCTTTGAATTTCCCTCTGAACATGATCGATTTCTGTTCGTTCTAGAAGAAATGAACTATGGAACGCCAACAAGAACAGTAGCACTATACCAATGGTTCAACGAGAATTCGTCTCTACCCATGAATCTTCATTTACACGATCCCAACATAATGATCAAACTATTTCTTCGTGTTGGAGATGCTTATACACACTTGCACGTATCCAATACGAATGCATTGGAGTGTTATCACAAAGCTTTGGACTTAGCACAAACGAATGCTGAACATCAAGCGGTAGGTAAAATACAACAGAAAATCACGAAACTTACGAATCACATGGTGTCAGAGACCGCTTATCGTTGCTCGTCACAAGTAAAAGAAAGCAAACAAACAACAATTTCATATCAACGAATAGATCAAAAGATACCATTAAAAGATATACTTCAATATGAGATTGAACATGACCAATGGTCTACTTTTTGGGCGTTCGATAGAATATCACGAAAGGCGAAGTTGAATCATTCAATCCAGAATAGACTTCAACACCTTAAGCATTATCTTCGTGAGCGCGAGACAGCTATTGATAGATATGATTTAGGTATTCCACTTGGTGTATTTCCTAACCAACTGCAATCAAACCAATGGGTTCGAGAAATTTACTTATTCTTCCTTCTTGCCTTTCACTCCTACTTATATGAAGACATAAACAACGAAGGAAACCATACTCTAAATTTGTGGCTATACGAAAAGTTCATGCTTGAATGGCTCTCATTAAACGATATTAAAAGAATGCTGAAATCTCATCTACATACAGAACCAATTACCACTGAAGTTCTCTATATTCTCAATCGAATCATTCGAAAGTTAGAACTTATCGTCATATGGTACAGTCTGACCATTGTTAACTTTTCGGAGCATAACACAAATAGATTCACTGTTAATGTGAATCAATTAAGTTTTGTTAATATTGGGCACGTCGAGATACCACAGTTAGTGTTCTTTAACGAGCGAGATCTGGTGATTGGGTGATATTAGCCGAGTTGACCTCGAAAAACAATAACTAAACAAAAGTATTGCTTTTTATTCTATTTCAAAGACTTCGATAACATTTTTCTTACAATCCACTGTCACAAATATGTTATCAGTCTAACTATTATTCACTTGTGCATTTGATTAAATAAATTCTTTGAGATGATAATAAACATTTTGCTGCTCTTTGTAAAATCAGGCTTGACCTCTTTTATAACGATGGATCATTTTAAGAAATACTTTAATGAAATAAATAACTACTTTCACTCGTGAAAACTTCGTCGTAGGTTTCAACACGATAGGAAGATCCGGAATGTCTCGTATTCTGCGATAAACACGTGAAATTTCTCCATCTAAATATTTCTACCGGTTAAATCCTTACTAACGGGCAGGGCAAACCGCTTTGCATGAATTTGTTTTTGATATAACTTTGGTTAGAAAGAGCAAAATGTCTAGTGCAAAAATATATAAAAGAATTTGATTGCAAATGTTTTTCGAACGCCACACAAATATTAGAAAAAAAGGAGATGGAGAACTCTTTCGCAATTTTTTTGGCTCTAGAAAAAACTTCCTATAATTAGACAGGTTCTCTTTTTATTCGTCCAATCCACAGATTATTATGTAAGGATAGAGTAATATTGCTGTACAAAAAAGAGATTTTTTTCTACATGTTTTATAACGGTCGAAACGAACACTTGTAAGATATCATCCAGGTCACGGAATTTCCATCACTGTTGATAGTAGTCAAAAAAAATAAACTCTACTCTGAGAGAGAAAATGTCAGAAGCTATGCTTTATATGAAAAAGAAAGTTTATTGAGTTCTCCACTAAACGATAGTTTTTGGAATAGGATACAGTTTCTCTGTCAGATATTCAGGCAAAAGTTTGTTTTCGCGTTGGAAAGTCAAATTTGAACACTTAATGTGTTTGAATCAAATTGTCTTTTGCATGCTAAACCAATTATTTTAATACTAAATCAATGCCTTCGTTGTAGTAAACAATTGTATGTATATGCCGCTCGAACGCGCCGAAAGTGGGCAATGAAAAAGCTCAAACAAATACTTCTGGATAAAAAAAACTGCGATCAAAGTTAGATTTGTTCTAAGATTTGTGCGGCCTTCGAGAAACATTTCCAATCATATTCTTTTACATATTTTCCATTAGACAGTTCGCTCTATCTAGCTAAAGAAACATCAAGTCTCTATGATATTGCATCACAGAGTTATATCAAAAACGAAACTAATGCAAAACTTTTGCCCCACCCATTAATTGCACATATTGGACATCATAATCATATGATCAAAAGAAATGTCTATTGTGAACTGGTACTTTTCCAGTCTAGTTAATTAGATTTGATTGTGTCTCAGATATCTGATCAATAGAAAATCTTAATTTCAATAAGAATTCTTCTTTTTTTTCAAAAAAACAAAAAAATAAACATACAAAAATCTTTCATAACAAATAATATACAGACTTTTTTCAACTAAAACAGAGTTTTCATGCATAAACAACTAATTTCAATTTACGGACGATTACTGAAATTTATTAGAAATAAGTATTGGATTAGCAAGTTTGATCGCTGGAGTAATAGATGATGATATTGACTTGACAATATTAATCTGTTTAGGTACTAATGGTAATACTTGAGTTTTATCAAAAGAATGTGAAGATGTTGTTGATACTAATCGAATTGAATTCATTGGTAGTGATGATTTATTAATCGATAAACGAATTACACGAGGAGTAATTTCTTGCGTTGTCTAAAGAAAGAATTTTACAATAGAATCAAATCGGAATACATTTTCAACTTACAATCATATTAATTCGTTGTGAATCCTTTTTTATTGTACTTGTTGATATAATTTTCGTTACTTTTCTTATTGGTTCTTCATTATGACATTCATCATTGCTTGTTGATTCGTCTAAGATTGATTTCAGTTCAATAATTGGTGTACAGTGAGCTTGTTGTTTTATTTTAGTACGATAAATTTGATTTAACATTTGATTTCGATGACTTTTTTCAAAATGATTCATGACAAGACAACGACGATTTGTTGGTTGTTTTTGAAAAATTACATTTGATGTTTTTGAAATATTATCAAAAATAATATTTCGCATAGCTATAAAAATCAATAAATATTGAAAACTGAAATTCTGCTCGGAATATTTTTTACACTGTGCATTTCTTATATTTGCTTTATGTTTTTTAATTGTCTGATAAAATGTTAAAACATTCGGTTGACGAAAATATTTTGATACTCGAAAATGTTCACTGTTATTTATTGTATATTTGAGTGGATCAATAATTTGTTGATAAGTTTTTTCATAATCATCATTTGACGCACAGAGATCCGCTAGAGAGGAATGAACACTTACAATCAATGCTAAATCAAGTGTACATTGTGTTACTGAACTAATCGTATGTGTACCATATTGATTGATAAGAGCTTGAAAAAATTTTGTATGAATATTATATGACGATGATAAAGGCGGTTTAAGTGTTTGACGGCTGCTACGAAGAATAGTCGGATGTGATAAATGACTATTGGCTGTTGTTGTAGTTTCTACAGAAGAAACACTAATAATAATTGGTAATGAGGATCTAAAACAAAGTCAAATCAGTTTTTGTTTTGCTTTCTTAGAGTAATTTACTCATTTGATGAACATTGAGAACATGGGCATTTGATAAAATCTCGTTGTTGAGGATATCGTCTATCATGTATATGAACAATCAATGGTCTAGATTCACTTAATACTTTTAAAACCCATGATGAATTCGTATTTGTTAGTGATGATGATGATGATGATGATGATGTCGGAGAAGCAGGTGAACATGATGTACAAATTTGAACATCAAAGTGATCAATTCGGATAGCGATTTTGGCCCAGTTAACACGAAGACCGCGCAGAGTCTGAAATAGATAATGGAATATTTTTAAAAAAGAATTTTACGCAAGTAACCTCTTCAATTTTTGTTAAAATTTTTGTACGATGTAAATGCCATTCAGTTGTGCTATAAATAGCTAATTCAATATCGTACATTTTATTTTCACGAGAACGAACGTTCAATAAAAATGTATCAGGACCATGACCACCTAAAATAACAGCTAGACGTAATCTGCTATGTTATATAGAATAGTATCGATAGAATATATAATTGTGGCAACGAAAATTAGTTAAATCTAGACAGAAAGTGAACGACTATTAACTTACCATTCGAGGTATAAAAGAAGAATGTATTCTCGATACATATTTCAGTCTAACATTTGACTCGAGTACTGTAGACTCGTTAAAACAAGAGCAACTCTGATCAGGTCTTCCTTCACTACGCAATGAAAAGTTAGGAGTTCGAAAGGCACCTGACCGTTGAATATGTATCTTTATTAATTACTAATTTTCAAAAATATCTTACGTCCTAACGCATTGATTAATTTCGCTCGAGCCAGTTCAATAGGTGCAGCCGGTACCACTTGAGACTCAATGCCAATTTGTTTATTAAAATTCTGTTCTTTTTCATCTTCATTTTCTAATTTCACCGTTGGAGATAAACGTTCACCGAATTGTTGTTCAATTTCTGCATCCGTTAATAATGCTGGAGTAACATTTGTCTGTGTTCGTTTTTTTCGTACTCGTTTTGGTTTAATCAATGATTCACTTTCTTCACTGTAGAGGTTTTTTCTTTTACGAATTCGTTTCGGACGTAACAATGGAAAATCAGATATTGATACATTTGTTGAACATGATCGATGAATATTTTGTACATAATCATCCAGATGATTAGAACTAGATATAAAGAGAGAGAGAGAGAAAGTTAATGATTTTAAGTCACTAGTTCAATCATTACTCACTATTCAGGTGTCCCAAAACTCATTGGAACTGTTGGAATGACCTGTGAAGTAAAATAAAAACACAATAAATAATTGACAAATAAAGATTCATACATTGATTTCAATAGGTTCTTCTTTTGTTTCACTGATATGCGTAATAGTAAGTTGTTCGTGTTCTATTGGTTCCTTTCTAATGATGGATTGTTCAGCTAATTCAATGCCTATTGTTGTCTCTTGAGTTTTATTTTTTAATGAAGATTTTTTTTTCTTTGGCTTTTCAACATCTAGTGTAAGTAGTATTGAACTCATATCTTCATATGCAATTCGCTTTGTACGTGCAGGAGAGCTTTTTTCTGTCAAACTATCGAATATATTCCCATTGTCATCATCTGATGTAAATAAGACATGATTGGATTGTGGTAAATCTTTAATATTACGCCGTTGCCGTTCTTGATTTATTTCACTATTCGAATTTATAGATATTGATTCGTTAAGTTCTTCGTAGTCTTTTATTGACAACGAATGGTTGATTACTTGATGTGTATCTATTTTCGATAGATTATGATTGCTTATCGATTCAGGCGAGTCGATAAGAAACTGTTCAGCAAATGTTTTCATATCCATTTCATTGTCATCTTTTTCATTATTAATAATCGATTGTTTTTCAATTAATTTCTTATGAAATTCTTGAATTTCATCGAGATTATTCAACGCAGCAAAATATTCATTATCAATAAGATGATATGCACTTGATGATGATGTTGATGATGGTGGTTGGTTGTTCGTTTGATGAGCATATGTCGAAAAAAGTGACATTGCTGATTTATTTTTCATCATCGTGCTTAATTTAAAAATTAAAATTGATTTATGAAACGTTTTCCGTTAGTTTATTTCCACGATGCAAAAACGCGGCCGTTGCAGCCTCCGCAACGGTCCGAACGAATTCATGATTTGCCTACCGTTGCTAAAATCATTGCCAATAACAGAGTGATATCGGATTACTTAAAATAGCAATAGAAACAATATTTTAGTGATAAACATTGACCCCATTGTTGACAGAATGCTAAAGGAAACAGAAATAAAATAGAAGAGTTTTAAATAATAGACAAATACGGAGATGGCGCTAGTTGTCGTTTGATTGAGAGAGGATTGAGTATATATGTTGTTCAACAAAAACTGTCATTTTTATCAATAAACAGATGCCTGAAAAGAAATATAAAACTAGCTATTCGAATCCATGTTTTAAATAAGCTTACAAATTCAGTTGCAATAAGAAAATATTTATTATAGAACAACGTCCAAGTTCAGTTTAGAAATCCGCTTAATACACTATTTTAGTAGAATATTATCTCATACGAACGATGTCACATTGATTTTAAGTTGAGATTTTACAATATGTTCTATCTTATGCGCTTTAGTAATGGAGATTAAATGTCGTTGAGTGCTAACAATCATCTGATTTCTTGCTGAAAATTGCTTAACCAAGAAAAACAACTTCTAGTCGGCATTTACAACGTGCTGTTGACTATGAGTTTTGAAAAACCCAAACTCACTCACGTTAGCTAGTTAAAATTCTGGAGAATAAAATTAGTATCATTGGATTATAGGCTATCAAAGTAAATAATAGTAGCATGCTGAGGACTGCTGTCTTTATACAATAGGCTTACGCAACCGTTAAATCGATCGTAATAATACAATGAAAAATGAGAATAATTTAAGATTCTTAACTTGTGAAGTCATTAAAAATATTCTAATTCGAAAAAAAAGAGATTTTTTTCTCTATCCGAATAGATAAGCGATATTATTCTTCGGTAAGTGATAACAGTTTGAAAACAACAGTTGAAGTTGAAATGTCGAAATATTCAGGTAATATAACTTTTAAAGTTGTTGTTAGATTTCTTTCCAATATAGTTATTAACAATCATGAATAAAATCAAAAGACAACATTTGACATTTATTATTAAATAAAGAAAAGAAAAAAGGAAAAATATAGATTATTATACAATTAATTTCTAATGGAATACTTCGAAAAAAAAAACAGTAATCAACGAAATAAATTATGATCACCTACTTCCTCATAAACATGTTTAGTAGAACTTCGAAGAACATGACTTTGTTCATCTAAACTTGTATTGCTCATAATTGATGTTGATGTAACAGGTTCTTTATCAATGCCATTACTATAACCCGATGATAAACTTGTTATACGATTCGTTGTTAGACTACTACTAAATGTTCTATCATTATACGGCAAGAAACAGCATGGTGAAGCTCGGATACGCGATAATTGTCTTGAATTATGATAATACCATGATGAAGCAGGTTTTAAATACGTTCTATAACGATTTTTTCTCAAATTATGATATCTTAATGATGACGATGAGGCTAATGAATACGAATATGTTTCATCATTATCATTTCGATCAATATACATAAAATTCTTTTGTTTCTGTTGTTGATGAAATCTTGGATTGCAATGTTTTCGTTTATAGTACAAATGACAAATAAAGGCTAATACTATCAAAAAACATATTGTGAGTAAAGTACCAACGAGAAAGCCCAGAACAATCGAACGATTAATAACTAATGTTTGAATCAAAGTTGAATTCGTAGTTGTTTTGGTTTCGCGACAATATTTATCAGTGCCATAGGATAATCGTGTTATAATTAAACATACATGATAGATTTTATTTGGTGATAGATTAGGAATGATATATTGTTTAAGATACGGTGAAATATAATTAGTTTGCCGAATGATTTCAATTTTCGATGGAAATTCTTGTTCGATTATTATTTGAAATTTTGTTTTTAGAAAAAAATTCGATAATACACTTGCATCGAAATTCCAGAATATTAATAAATCATTATTTTCATAATATGTATTGAATGATGTCAGCTGAAAAGGCGATATTGAATTTTTCTCATCGTCAAGTTTTTCTGTTGTTCCAATTACTGAAAAATAAAAGATAAGAAAGTGATTGAATTTTATAGACAATTTTGAAATCGCACTAAGAACAAAGGACTGCTCTTAATATATCAAAATTTTAAGGATTTGTCTCTATGATATAGAGTCATTTTGCTAGATCGCTACGACACACTTTACATGAACAATATTCTATCTACAAAGGCTCCCGATGATAACATGGAACGTCTGTGACTAGCGAATAGTCTTACTAAAAATACATGTGGATTGTACAAAAATTAATTTCAAGTTCTTTTTTTCTAATAAAAAATACGAAGATCAGAAAATACCATTAGTATGATCATAGACTTTTCTCTATCTAGCAAAATAAACACTTCGGAACTGTTGAAGGTAAAGTATTGGCATAGATCACCGATTTCTGTTTATTTCGGAAAAATAATATTTGTCTAACTATTGAACTAGTTATATATGCTAAAATTTAAATTGTTTTCTTTTGCGACACACAAAAGCTTATCTTATGATTAAACAATGTTTACAGCAATAGGATTTTTATAGATTCGTATGCTTTATGAAATAAAAAACAATATGCAAATAGATAACTTTTGTCACGTAATCAGATTTTCCTTGGTTTTGTACGCGGCCCTTTTGTTCTTTTCATAGAGACAAAGAATCGTTGAATAAAAGATAAGCTTCCAATGGCATAGTATTCAATCGGATTAATCAATTTATACACGACCTTTGTACGCTCATTAATATTCAATCGGATTAATTGTCGTTATCAGAATTTTCTAGTTTTAACTTACCTTGTGTTGAAGTATCGGCTTTTTCTTCTGTTTCAATATCATTTGTCTCTATTGTGTCAAGGAAATTTCTTACATACTGTTGAATTTCTTCAAAATTTGTCACTTCTTTACAATTCGCTGGTAACTCTGATGAACATGTCGTTATTAATTGTTCATATGTTAAATCTTTTAAATATTGTCCTTTAAACATTTGTGGTGATGCACACATTGTTTGATTTCCAAATGGTTGACTATCGCCGATATATTCTGATAAATCAATTAAATTTTTTTTGAGAAAAAATGCTAAACGACAATCACAATGAAGATGAATTAAATCATTCATTACTATATTTGATACATCTGTTGTTTGTTCCATAGTACATATTGGATTAAATGAAAGATCAATGAAATGTAGATTATGATTGACTCCGAAATAATTAATTAAATTAAAACTTAAATTAATATTTAATTTTGTTATTTCATTTATTGACGGTAGAGATTCAATTAAATTGTTTGAAAGGTCAAGTGTTATCAAATGTGGCAGACGTATATTTAAATCATTTGGTACTGTTTGAAGTTGATTTGATGTTAAATTTAATATTCGTATTGATGATGAATAAGACAAATATTGATCATCGAAATTGAAATATTCAATGTCGTTATTAACTAACGAAAGTTCATATAAAAATGGAAGTTGATAAATATGATACGGAATAATATTAATTTGTGAATGTTGAATAACTAATTTTTCGAGTCGATTAAGTCGATCAAAACAATGTTGATATTGATTAAAATTAAATCTTGATAATTTAAGTATGCGAAGTTTTTTCCATGTACCATAACAGAGAAATTCTAAACTACCATTCCCTATTGAATCAATATAAAGTTCTTCAAGATAATGAAGAATATTAGTATTAAATGCTTCTTTGTCAATGAATTTAATTGGATTTTTTTCAAGATAAATACGTTGCACTTTCAATTGATGAAACGATGTATTAGTTAAATATTCAATATAATTATTCGATAAATTTAATTTGTCATGAATATACGAACGTGTGAATTCAGGTATTTTCTCAATTGAATGCGGTTGACAATTTATGTAATTACTACCATCTATTTCTATGCCACAATAGCAGCCCGTTTGAATATCAACCGTTTTTAATGGACACGTTTTTATTGAAGAAATAAATAGAAAACAATACAGAAATCGGAACATCATCTAGAAGATAATCGAATGATACAGACGCAAATGTAATCAAATAAGTACATGGGTGTAAGAAAGAAAGAAACAAAGAAAACGAAGCAGGTGTATCAGAGCACGACCTCATCTTCATCAATCAACCTCTCAAACAGAAGAAGAGAAGAACAAAAGAAAAGGCATAACAATAAAACAGATTAACCTTCCTAGTTTGAACGATTTTCTCATTAGTGGCATGTTCAGCATTTGACATTATTATTGAATGTCATACGATGACTGTAACAATAACATCGGAGTTTTTAAACATACATTTTTTTTCTTATAAATTCTATATGTATTAAATAAGACTAGAAACTAATAATGAAAAAAATCATGCACACAATAGATCATAAGAATCAATTGAATAAGTGAAGAGTCTAATGATTGTTGATCGTTCAACAATAATAACATTTTTCGATTTGTAGGAAGAAAAAGAGAAGTAGAATATATTGAATAATGGAGAACAGTGAATTTGTTGTTAAAAGAAGACGAACAAAATCATAAAGAAAGAAACACTTGAACGAAGAGACATCAGTAATTACCTAGTGTCATATTACTTGTGTGCTCATGTCAATTTGATGAATAGAAAATAGAAATGAAATAAAAAGGACCTACTATTGAGAATTGATCTAGTTGAGACTATTGAACAATTTCATTGACCGCCGATGAAAAACTGCTATAAACAATGAAGCATATAATCGATTCTCTTGCTTCTGGTCATTCATATGGTACTATCTATACTCGTAATAAAGTTATAATAAAATAATTTCTAATGATAAAAGTGTTTAACAAAAGGCAAGAGATAATGACCCATAAAAAACGGACATCATCGAACCGAATACAAATTGTAACACTTGGTGAACGTTTTGTTTGCGTCAACAATTCATTGAAGACTGTAATAAAAATCGTATGTACACAAATTATCACTCTCATGCCTATACATATGTATACTTGCAGTGAGATTAGAAGAATAAAATAGGAGACTCACTTATTTCTCGCGTGTCTAAAGAGAACGTTGCGTTACATAAACTAAATTTTTTTATTCTCTTTCTCTATTATTTTTTTTTCAAGTATGCGAAACAAAAAACTGTCACAAATCGCACTCATATACCTATGCATATCGTTTAGAATTACCTGACCACATATAACAGATAAGACATTCACTTGTGAGTACTATGACAGAGTTTTTGGTCAAATATATACATAGACACAATTTCTATTAACTAAAGACGAAGAAAAAAAGAGATCCATACAATGAATTGATAGAGAAAGGACGGGGAGAAAAAGCTACACATCATCTTCACTCTTTATTTTTTTTAACATTATCTGTGCATATATTTGAAAGTTACTCTTACTTTATTGATTATTAGACATGACATATATTCAAAATAAAAAAAACGAATGAACGAAGAGTGACAAAAATCAGGTGAGGTATACACACATATTTGACAATATTTGCTTAGTTAAAAGTGATTTTAATCGTGAATTTCGTTTTTTTACATCATTAATTTATAGTATATATATGAGATCAAAAACCCGGATATATTTCAATATGTACATGTTCGATCGCGCATAGTACATGTCATGTATACGTATCTTATTTAAAATTTACGTCAAGTATGATAATAAGACCGTAGGTATACTTGCGATGAGAAAAGATATGACGAAAAGATTTTTTTGTTCGTAGATCTTGTCTGATCTCAACGAGTGGATGACAATGATCAAAAGAGAAGCTGTCTCTCTCATTTATATACAAAATGAAAAATGTAAGTGAGTCTGAACCGATATATTTACATCATCACGCAGCTAACTAATACATCCTATTTAAAAAATAATATTGTAAAGTAAATCAAACGCATTAATGTTATCCAGTCCAGCATCAATACTTACAAGGTTAAATTGCATCACTTATATTATTCTTCACAGCATTGCAAACTAAACATATAGCTATATCTATACGTAGACAATGGTTAAAAGAACTCCATCAATAACCATGAAATTCACCTTGATACATTCAATGACAGAATAATACATCAGGAAAAGAAGAATAAAAATAAAAATTCTAAAAAAAAGAAGCAATTTGTTTTATTCATAGAAGTGATGATGATGATGATGATTATCATCATTATTATCATTATACCTTGATGCACTGATTTTCATACATACATATATATATATTTGGATGACAGCGATCATCGATCATTCGTTTGATTCGGTTTCACGCAGTTATGTATGTGTGAATGACGTAACCTTCAGCATGCGAATAATTACATTTTCGAGTATTAACATAATATCCTTCGATATTTGATAGGAAAAATGAAAGATATATTATACATGTCGTCTTTCGTTTTCGTTTCTAATTAATGAAAGATATCGATCAAATAAGATAAATGATGTCAAATGAAAACAAATATATATTAATTTATTTAGATTTTGATATCCTTAATTAAGATTTCAATTTAAGGCAATCATTATTGCTGTTACCATAACAAATTAAGTCTGTATGAGATAGTTCGTATTAGAAATAAATATGGAAATGATTTTCAATACTACCTATTCGACCATGAAAATCAAGATAAGGTGACTATTGATATTAATGTATTAATCAATATCTGGTTTATTAAATTTATGATCGGCTCATCTGTATTCAATATTTGATGGTAACCTTGTTCACAAAAGCTATTAGTCCCATCCCGATGGAGTTAAAATGTAAAATACGATGAGGTCGTTGATACTCATCGTAGAGAGGCTATTTTAAAATACATTAATTCGTCATCCGGAAATATAACAAGGAAATAGTCTATATATTATACAGAATCATTATGCATGCATGAGCTATCATCGTGTATCCAAAGTGTCTATTAGGATGTGTGCGTATGTTTGAGAAGAACTTCTCGATTTAAGTCTTTATTTTACAAAAGAATACTTAAGATGAGAGTACTCTTTGAATTACTATAAAAAGAAAGCAGGTGTTGAGTAGCAGAGAAAGAAAATTATTTATTATTTGAATTTTCAATTAGTCATTAACTATGTATCATATTCAAATCTTGAATTGATGAAAAGATTAGATTGAAGATAACCATTATATATATATATATATATATATATATATATCGAAGATAAAATCATACTCTCAATATAATAATTTATGCAGATCCCCCTTTTGAAGCAGCTATTGAAGAATCTAATGATTCTCATTGTGCAGTGAATATTTATTGGTGATTCATATCGATCATCTTCACAAACAGCTGATACACATTTTGACCGACAAAAAGAGAAAGCGCAACACTTTATATGCTTTATATGTATAAAACGTGTGAAGATTTCAACAGAACGAAAAGAAACAAGTGATCTACAGTGCAATTTCTGCAGGCATGCATTCTATATGAACATTTTGTTATCGCCGATAAAAGATAACTCTGATTCCGGAACAATCACAAGAAAATCTTTCGCCTTTTACTAAAGATTTCTGTGTTTCGGAATAATTCAATGAGTCTTAAAGACTAATTTTTACTCGGCTCGTGTCAAACGGGCTTTCAAAATAAACTATAAGAAATACATTTGAACTTGTTAGTTTTCATTAGCATCTCAAAATTTGATCGATCAGTGAAAACAGTATTAAGAAACATCCACCTCTAATTCGTGCCCTGGCTCAACCGAACTATAGTTGAATACGTGTTTACTTCAAGTGGAAAATTTATTACTATCACAAGATACAAGCGATGACTTTTTTTCGTAAGAGTCACAATTTCTAAATAAATGTATTAAAACAAATAAAAATTCTGATCGATTAAGTAATAGACAACAAGAAGAGAAAAAACAAATCACATAATTTTTTTTCTGTAGTTTATTGTTTTGTTAAACATATATATATATGCAGTACGATAGATAATCAAAAAGAAACTATAAGTATTGATCGTAAATTTCAACATTCGATGAATGAGATTTTGCTACTCCAAGCACAAGCGAGGAAACAATACCAAAAATTTCAATAAATAAAATGGCACCTAATACTACAGCAATCCAAGGCAATTCTTTCCATATCCAAAGAGCCACGGCTTCAGCACAGCCTTGAGTATAAGGGAAGCTTTTGTGTGTTTGTTGCGGATAACATGATTTAGGAACTGGAAGATCAAGTTTTAAGTAGTCTGTAGCACTATCAACTCCACAGCATTTAAATTCTTTTTCTAATTGTTCAATGATTTCAATTGTTGCGTTGTGTTTATTACGATAAGCATTTCGAAATATTTCTTCGAAACCAGAATCATACGATTGCCATAAATCATTTCGAAATCTTAAGATAACAACAACTGCACCGAATTCCATTAAAACAATCAGAGTTAAGAGAGTTGCATATGAATAAAGAAAAACTCGATTTTTACAAATAGCACCAAGACAACCGAATGCTGCTAGACAAGACGTGAATACGCCGACAATAATTATGATCGTTCCCACCCATTGCATAGTCAGTCCTCCAAGTGATTGCGTAATATTATAAGCGGCTGCGATGGCACTAAAATTTCCATTGATTTTAACATAGATTCCGAGACCCAATATTGAAAAACCAAAAATAAGAAAGATGATATTCAATGCAAATAATGTCGTACGCGCACACTGAACTCCACACGATAGACGAACCATGTTTTAGTGAATTTATTTATTTTAAAAAGAAAGATACATAGAATTATGAGAAGCATGTGCTGTCTTTTATAGGCAGATAACAATATAATATGCATTTAGATGATATATTAAAGATAAGAGCCCAAGAAGATGAGCTTGCACGTAAGTGTTATTACACAATTGAAAATAAATTTTCCTAGCATACGCCATTTTATCATTCTCATGCGAGCGCCATTGTTGCGCGCATGTCTGATGATAAAATAAAATGGAGTGTAACATTGATCAAGAAATCGATTGCTTTTATATTTTATTGACATTGACTCATGCCGTCTTGTGTATTTCATAATTACATGTTTGTTCACTGAAAGTTTTCTTTCTAACTTGTTCGCTTGTATATATATTTTTCCAGTTATTGCTGATATTTTTACATATAATGAGTACTGAAGTTGATGTTGTTATTGTTGGGGCGGGTGCAGCTGGTTTGGCTGCTGCTATCGAATTGCAGTCAACGAATTTAAAATTTCTTGTACTTGAAGCTCGTAATCGTATTGGTGGTCGAGTATGTACAGATGAAGAAACATTTACACGTGCGAAAGTTGATCTCGGTGCCAGTTGGATTCATTATTATGGACCAGAAAATGTACTCTATGATTATTATGTATCGTTTAATTGTGGTAAGAAACAGCCTAGACATTCAGGTTATAGGATTTGTTTTGATTATGATGGTGAATATTTTTCGAGTGAAACAAAGTTTCATGCGCGAAGTATATGTGCAAAACTCTATCAACATATAGAATTATTTACATGTAAGAATAAAAATAAGGAAGATCAAAGTATTGAACAAGTTATTCAAACAGAATACGAAAGACTAGTTCCCAATGGACCAATTAAACGCTTAGTTAATCTTATGCTTTCTGGTGAAGAAGAATATGAAGGATCTAATTTTGAAAATCTTTCAGCTAAATATTATGGATTGGAAGATGGTTCATCATGTGATAAATGGGTTTCATGTGGTTATGAAAATTTATTAAAATTTATTGTTAAGAAACATAATTTATCTATTCAATTGAATACTTTTGTCACACATATAAATACAATCGATTCTGATCGAATAGCCATTAAAACATCTAATGATTCATCAATAATCTATTGTCGTCGAGTTATTATTACAATTCCATTAGGTTGTTTAAAACGAGAAACAATCTTATTTGAACCACCACTACCTGATTGGAAACGCAATGCTATTAATCAAATGGGTATGGGTTTAATGAATAAACTTATTGTTCAATTTTCAACTAGTTTCTGGGACTCTGATATGTGTTCATTTTTACATGCATGTAATAAACAACGTGGTCGATTTCGACATACGATTTGTTCACATGCGCCAGAAAATATTCTTATTCTATTCGTTACTGGTAACTTTGCTAGAGAATTAGAAGCTTTGACTGATTCAGAAATTCTCGAAGAAATAATGAAATTTCTTCGACAAATATTTCCTACCCAATCGATATCGGAACCTGTCAAATATAAATTTACTCGTTGGGGACAAGACACATTAGCGTATGGTTCATATTCAAATATTGCTGTTCATGCAAGTCCTGATACAATGAAACAATTAGCAAAAGAAACTTCCGATGGCCATGTACATTGGGCTGGTGAACATGCTAATGCTAATGATGGTACTGAAAATTGGTCGTTTGGCTGTGTTCATTCTGCTTTTCAAAGTGGACAACGAGCAGCAAAAACTGTTCGAAGTCAATTATGTTCTTCTTAAATATTCGTTGTTTTTTTCTCATTTTCCACTCTCAGATTACAACTTTACAAAAAAAAGAGAATTCGTATAGAATCATGCATTTTGTTTTTGACATATATAGGATTTCTTAAAGAAAATGAGGAATGTATCAAGAATCTTTCAATGCATTATTTACATGCAGAGATACAAATTTTCAGTAGTGTCACATTTGAAACTCTAGTATACATTTCTCATTACTGAAGAGACACATAGGGATGATTAAGGATTTCATATTTCTATGTAATTTTTCGTTGAATTACACGAATAAGTGCTTGTAATTAGTCATCATCAACAATTTCAATAGACGATGGTTTTTCCTCAGTCATTACTTTGAGAGTAAAGTGTATGAAAAACATTCTCTGTAGCTAAATGTTTGTGAAGATCATCGTAAAGTTGTTCAATACAATCCATCCTTTCGCCAAGACTCCAAACAACATTGAAACTCCTGCGTTTTCATCACATTTGATACAAGGTTGTTTTAGTTTAACTGAAGTCATATTTCTCTATGAAAAAGGAATTTAAGATTTTAGTTTTTTTTACTAAAGAACAATACTTTTTTCGTGCTATTTCATGTGTATTTATACATATTGAGATTATGATTTCTTTTGAAACCGATAAGAGGAATAATTCATTCATAATTTTTTGTAAGAATAAAAGTAATCGCTTTTTCGAAGCAAAACTCAAATTATTTTAGGCTTCTTTTGGTAGTTGTTATTGGGACTTGATTCCATGTCATCTGTTCAGACAGAATTCGGTTTTAGTATTTCATTTTATTTCCAACTCTCTCTTGAGCGAAAGGCAAAGTAGCGAAAACTTGAAGTTTTGTTATTAGCAAAAGAAGGCGACTATAAAAATTAGAGAAATTTTTTCTTGATAAGATTCGATTGCTTATGTTTGATGATGAATTATCATGCTGATGTGTGTGTTTATATTGCAGCTCTTACTCGTTCTGCTCTTGAGTGTGGTGTGTCTGAAGTTTTTGTTTAAACTCACATTTCATATGCACACCCAAAATAGAAAAACTCATCGAAATATAGAAGAAAATAGAGGATTTTTCTCAAAATATAATAATAATAGACCAAATCCGAGAGGAAATTACAAAGAAAAAAATTGTGGAAGAAAAGAAAATGATGAGAAAGAAAAAAGAACCATGGCAAAAAGAAGAGACTCGTAGAAGTCATAAGTATTAGTAATAGCCTAGCATACTATACGTTTCTTGTTTTTTTTCGAAACTACAGAAAAAAATGAATGCTTTACCTAATTAGAGTCTTGTATACAGCCGGCTGAAAATTTTCTTTTAAAAATTGTAACGAATAGTATTGACCTTTCGACACTCGTTCTTTCTCTTTGTTTTTTTTATTCTTTTATAAATGAACACAAAAACCGTCGGAATAACGAGAAAATAATATGCCAACCAGATAATCGAGTCATAAGTGTTAGAAGCACCGTCAGTCGTCCTACGAGAGAAGCGCAAGGAAAAAAAAGAGATTTTACCGTAAATGAGTCTTGTTCGTTGATGTTGAATATGTAGTCGAGACGCGTAGTCTATAGGAAAATGTTTTATTTTCATTTTGTTCGCATCTTATTAGTTCATAGATTTTTCTATTGATTGCTGCTAAAATAATCGAAATCAAAGAGATGTGATATACATTGAGTCATTTCAAGATGTTTCTGTCTACTACATTGCTTATCTTTATGCTGTCTGTTCACGGCCATAACAGTAAAATGCAATGTTTTTCTTGTTAGCACATTTAGAATAAAAAATAACATAAAGCAACAAGTTAACCCGTAAACATATTAATTAGTACATATGTGTGTAACATGCAAATACCAAAGGAATAGTTATAATCTGAGAATATTAGAAGTGAACATTCCGATTGGATTGTAATTCAACTCAAAATTTCTCTAGGGTTTTACTACCTGTCAATATGATTGTTCTATACTTTAGAATCTTACTTTATGTTCCTTTTTGAATGAAGTGTTCATAGAAGACGAGGTTTCATTTTAACTGAACGTTATTTAAACATACGTCGAACATTTGTTTTATCTACATCGAGTAGATTTATCTTTATTTTAGATTATAATTAAAATACTATGTTAAGTGATAGCGTTGCTATCAGTGTTCCTCTCAGATCTGATGATGAAACCAAAACAAATATTAATAATGACCCACCTGCTTATGAAAATCCACAACTTGATTTTAGTGGCGAATGGAAAGATCGTGGCTTTGCTATTGCATTCTGGATTCATACAATTGCTGTCATCTTAGTGGGCTTAATTTTAGGTATACCAACTGTAATTTCGCATATGAAGGATATATCATCGTATAAATGGGACATCGAACCTTTAGTTTACTCATTGGGCGGGGCAGCAGTTGTTAGTGGAATAGTCTCTTTTCTCTCACTTTTCGCTCTTCAACTATGTGCTGGTCAACTTATCAAATGTTCATTTTTGATACTTATCATCATGCAAATTCTGATGGGAATGGCTCTTTTTTTCGTATTTCCCCCATTGTGCTTCCTGCCAGGAGCGTTTATATTATTCACGTTGATTTATATATCATGCGTTCGAAATCGTATTGCTTTTGCCGAAGCTCACTTACAAGCAGGCTGTGCTTCTCTACGTAGTCATTCATCGTTGATATTGGTAGCACTCGTCATGCTCATAGTAGAGTTTCTGTGGCTTGTCTTCTGGTGTCTGATGTTCGCCGGTGTTATACGTGTCGTACTTATTAATTTAGAACCGAATCCGACTTCTAATCTTGGAATAGTGCTTTATTTTTTGATTGGTAAACTCATTTTATTTTTACTATTATTGTCATGTTATTGGGGTGCAATTACATTTGGAAATATTATTCATTTCATAACAGCATGTACTGTTGGTGACTGGTGGTTTACTAGTGACGGCAGTGGACACTATGGAATGAGCAATAGTATCAAGCGTGCATTTACAACAAACCTAGGAACTATTTGTTTTGGTTCACTTTTTGAAGCTATAATAAAAACTTTACGATTCTTGATAGGTGATGGACATAGAAAGAATTGTTTAACTTGTATTATTGACTGTGTTCTTCGGATGATCGAAAAATTAATTGGTTATCTCAACGAATGGGCATTTACTTTTGCAGCACTTACTGGTCAAGGATATGTTCAAGCTAGTCGAAGTTTTATAGAATTGTTTAAAAAACGTGGTTGGACAGCAGTTATCAATAATAGCATTGTTGCAACTACATTAATGATTATTAATCTTGGAATAGGTCTAATTTCAGCTGTTGTTGGTGGTACAATCATCTATAATATGATAGCTGAAGCGTCAGAAAACATTGGATTGGTAATGGTTATAGCCTTTATTAGTTTTATAATCGGTATACTAATGAGTTCCATCATCACAACACTTTTGAAATCATGCGTACGCACAGTATTCGTTTGTTTTGCTCTCAATCCAGCTGCATTGGGTGCAACACATCCTGATCATTTGCAAAAGTTGACGAAAGTTTGGCACAAGTTCTATCCACAAGAATTCACCAACAGCGGTTATGCTAATGAATTTAAGGAGCCAATCGTTTAGTCAGAATATTAATAACAATAAACACCGACGAAGAACTTAATTATTTATTGAAAAATATTTTTGTTGTCTGATTACTTGTATTTTTATTCTTTGATGTTTTCTCATGAATGAATCCTCGCTGTTGTAAACAGAGATTAATTAGCTTTCGTTTTGTCCGTCTATTTTTAGTATCATTTTCACGGCTGTCAGTCTAATAAATAATTCTCAGAATAAGATTCTAGAAAACTATTCTCATACGCTTATTGTGCCCTACATTTTTAAGATAAATAGAAGTTATCATGTTTGAGTAATAGTAATTCGATTTAAACATATTTTCTTGCAAATGATCTTGAATAAGATGGTACTTGTATCAATTTTCACCGCCGAAAAAAAATTAAGATATCTATCTTGTAATGAAAGAATGGTATTACACTTTTTCCACGAGAAACATAAGTCCAACTGAACATCTCCAGTAACTATTATCGGAACACATCTATTTCAAAGCCCTATTTTGTGTTTTTTGTTACAATTGATAAAACATTGAATTTTGCAAAAGATATTCTTTTACAACGAAATGAATGTTAGATAGCAACAATCAAAAAGAATTTTACAATGAGATGAGAATTCATGCAGGAAGGAAACACACGGAATTCAATCTTATAGGTACATGGGAAGGTTGACATCAAATTACGACTTTTAAAAAAGAATAAGAATTCGCAGAGAGCCGTGCTTTGTTTATATATATATAGGATTTTTCATTGCTTTATTTACATTCGGAAATATAATTTTTTGCTCAACTTTTCTGTTTGAGGCTTTTTCTGTGAGCACAGACATTTGATGCGAGCATCATCATAAAATTCAACTAGAACACATTTATTCACATATCCACAAATAACATGTAAGGGAAGTTAGCGACAGATTCGAGCTTTTCCTGAAACGATTCGTCCCATCAATCGTGCCACTTCTTGAACGTACCGCACCAGATAGAACTCGATGAGTTCTATCTAATGCTATGTTCAAAAATCACGATAGCATGAAAGCTGAAAAAACATCTATCAAAATAAGATTCATCACCATGGGACAAAATGTACACTTTTTGTATTTCCTGAATATATTCGATATGTTGCGCGTGCCACTTTTGAAACTTATCCCATTCGATGCAGCTCGATGAGTTCTATCTAGTACAGTGTTCAAGCCTACCATCTTAAAAACTCATGAGACTAAAATATTCAACACACCTGTGAAATTCGGGAATTTTCTGATACTTCATCTACCGATTCGCCCTGTAACCTGTGCCAACGCCAAAACCCAGGTCGAGCATTACGACGACTAGATACGGCCGTAAACGGCC